AGAGCAGTAACCAGGGAGCGGTAGCGTGTCACGCTCATGGCGGTGAGAAAGAAGACACTGGCGTACATGTTCATGGTGGTGACCGAGCTCACGATCTTGCACATGACCTGCCCAAAGGGCCAGCGGAAGTCCAGCAGCGTGTCCACGGCCCAGAAGGGCAAGGTGAGGACGAACTGGAGGTCTGTGAGAGCCAAGCTCATCACAAAGCAGTCAATGGAGGAGTGGTGGTATCCACGGCGACGGGAGTGAAGCAAGAAGAGTGCCAGGAGGTTACCCACGAGCCCCAGAACACATACAACCAGATAAACCAGGGCAATGACAACTCGTACCTGTCACACACACACACACACATACATGTTTTGTGCTTGAAGGGTGTTTTCAGTAAACATAACTGAAAACAAAAATCTGAGACTTTTCCAACCTGATAATTTAAAGCTTCTGGGAGTAAAAAACGTGGAAGTGTATTCAACCTGCATTCTTTCTAATGTTCTAATGCCTGGTCTATGGGGGGAAAGTCACACCCTCGGCAAAGCTTTTCTATTGAGTCTATTTTTTGTCTCAAATGCTAGTTTTAAGATCACTATATGCAAATAATATTTATTTTATAATTATTTCAAGTCCAAAAAGATGACAAAGCAGATTATTCTTTAGGGTGGGTGTCCTTTCAAAAAGCTCAGATGACACTTTGTGAAAACATTGGGCTCCAGACTTACCAAACCAATGAGTGGCATGGTGGCAGTGTCATCTTTTATATACAGGTTATGCTACAGAGTGCTGCAATAATAAATGGTAAGATATTTTAAGCTGAAACATATTCTGAAGATGTGGGACTTGTTTAAAAAAATGGTATAACCTTTAATGTCAGAATAAAGAAACAACATTATCTCCAAGATTCATGCACAATTACCGTTTCATTTTTTATTAATCTGATCCAACTGGACTTGTAGAAAAAAAACAAAAAACAAACAAACAAGAAGGTAAGCAAACCTACTGCCAGATTGGCGCTGTCTCCGTGCAGATCCAACGAGGACTCCTGAGAGAGTATGTGAAGCCAGCAGTTTAATGAGAGGTTAAAAGAGGAGGCTGCACCCGTAGGGCTGACCAGTTCGGAGATTTTGCGCTCATCCTCTTCCCCTCCGCACAGCCCTGTCAGAGCTCCAGAGGAGCTGCTGTTGTCGACCTGCATGACTCGGCTGCAGGCGGGGAAGGGAAAAGAGGGCGAGCTACTTCGCAAAACTATCCACTTCTTCTACCGGGATAACTTCGAGATCGCAGGTGCGCAGGTGCGGCTTCAAAAATCCCCATCTCTTTCTCCTCATGCATTCAGTATTAAAAGAGATCAGAGCTCCAAAATGCGCGTTTCTTCTTCTTTTGCTTGAATCTTTTGTTTGTTTGTGGTTTCCAGTCGGAAATGTCTGAGATATTGAAAAAACAAAAGAAAGAGCTGATTAATCCGCATCCACCTACTTTGGCGCGTTCAGGTCGAAGTCTGACATGAAGCAGTTGCCTCTTCTGTCAGCATCCTCGCACTGGAGGCTTTTATACTCGCCCAGCTTCTCGTTTCACCGCATGATGGCGCTCTGTCGGTGCACACACGGACTCCCCAGTGTTGATATATTATTGTCGTTATTAAAGCAGATGCCCCACTAACCAAGTTTCAGATGTCAGTACTCTTGGCTGAGCTTCATTCATATACCCCCGCACCCACCCTTTTTTGATGTAATCCAGATTTAACTTTAATTTTTAAAGATAAATTGATCATATTTATCTTTAAATATGAGAGAGTATGAGTGTGCAGCGTTTAAAGCGTGGAAGTACTGACCTTATTTTGAGTTTGATTCCATAAAAAGTGACAAAAACATTGGTGTCCGTTGTGTGTGGGAAGAAAACTTCTTTTTACAGCGAAAAAAAACCCCCCTAAACAAGCACCGAGTGTGCTACCATGTAATGGGAAATTCACAGAGAAGCTGCCGTATCCTTCCACTGACCGCTGCGGCACACCTGCACCAGAGCACACCTCCGTCTACCCTACTCCTGCTTTACAGGTGAAAATAGAGCAAAAGGACCGCTGAGTCTTTGATGTTATTTATTTTCTGCTGTGTTTTACTTGCATCTATTTGAAAGAGTGAGTGCAAACACACACAAAAAAATAATTATGTGCTGGAATGTGCAGAAAATAGGTTTAAATATTAAACAAATTTCTTCCAGTCAGAGAATGTTGCATATAATTTAATTTTTGCTTGATGCATAAAGTTAAAAGATTAAAACTAATAAAACAAGTTAAAAAAAAATAGACTTTTCCATTTGATTACATTTTGTATGATGGATTATGCAGAAAAAGTAGAATTGGGCTGAACGATCTATCGCTTTATCACCTATTCAGGTTGTAAATCGTTTTTTTTTTAAAGTAACTAAGTAATTAATTACTTTTGAAAATAAGTAATCAGTAAAGTAACGGGATTACTTTTGGGGGGAAGTAATCAGTAATTAGTTACTGATTACTTTTTTCAAGTAACTTGACCAACACTGGTAGGGATAATGTGTAAGGGTGAATATTTCTGTCTGATGAAGGTGAAAATACTTTACACTGACTGTATTACAATGTAAATTTGTGCCCAGACACGGTTATAAAAATGAGCTCTTCTTTAGTAATACATGCAGTTATTCAAATACAAATTCTTGGCCTGATCGAGGGCGTTTTGTCAATGTCATTCTTTGGTGGAGAAGATGATTTGAATTCACGCTCTAAATGCCGTCCTCAGAGCTGCTGCAATGCAAAGAATATGATGGCAGTGGAAGAAATGCTAATAAATTTAAATTAAATTTAGTTCAAAGGAGAGAAAAATCAAATATATATTAAATGCCCCAAGAATTTAGCCGGTTAATGTTTAAACAGTAAATGTATGTAAGGTTGTGCAGAGATAAGAATTAAAGAAAAGACACTGAACAAACTCACTGAAAAGGGTGAAGGATCTCAGGCTGCTGAGCAAAATCAGCCTCATCTGCTTTCATGTTTGTCATCATTAAGTCAGAATTATGTGCTCATGTTTGTGAGTGCAGGTTAATTATTCTGCAGCTATGCTCAGATGTTCATGAAGCCCCATCCGGACAGCCTAACCTTCTAAAATTATCTGAGCAATCTTCTCCTCCTGCAACCTCTTTTCTCCCTCGGGTAGCAGCACCTCTGCTCAGCTCTGAGATCCTGATTGAATTTCCACCTACATCTTTAACTCTTTATCATTACAACACACTGCCTAACCTGCCTCATCAATTATTCATTTCCGACTCCTAGCCGCTGTGTGCGTATAGTGAGCCCGTAGTTTTGAGCTTGGTTTGCAGAAATATTTATTTATTTATTTCGGTTATTCCACATTCTCTGCTCAGCGAGAGCTCTCAGGGAGAAAGGCTCGATGCACGGCTGCCAGGAGATTAAAAAAAACAGTGAGATGATAAAGCCACATTTCCACAGCGCAGCTCCACCGACAAAGACAAAAAAATATATCAACTGTGTAAAAATATAAACCAAAAAGAAGTATTCAAATTAGAGTTGAAAGCAGATTTGAATGCACAGCTGTGCTTTGACGGAAATGCCAACAGTGTTTCTTTTAAAAGTATTGTGTAAGTATATGAGGCAGAAAACTGCAGCTGAGTGTGATGGGCATCAATTTTGCAGATATTTGATTGAAAGTATAAAGTGCTGTGGAGAAATTATAGTGATATTATATATGTTTTTTGTATATGTTCTTTTTTTAAATGGAAGTTTATGGATATATTGCTAAACTGTAATTGGTAAAATTCAATGACTGGTTAAAAAATATGGAAAAAAAACATCCATAAAAATGAATACGGAAAAATAATTTATTGTAAAATGGTACATTGTACTATTTTTCATTGATGCTTTTTGGGGGGGGGGGTTGTTTTTCTGCTTCAAAATTGCATTTATTGTATAATTAATTACAAATTTGTCAAGATGTTTCATGCTCACCTACAGAGACAGATTTCATAGTTAAGAACAAAAAACAAAAAAAAAACCTTCTGATAGAGGTACTGCACTATGGCCCAGGCTATAAAACAGCTCATCCCCCACACAGTACTGAACAATGCTGTGTAAGTACTACAGTACAATGGGGTAGATCAGGTAGCCAAGGTATCCCACCTCAAGTTGCTCTCAGATCCTTCTGTTAGAAACTTTTACATCAACAACACTTACAGAGTCCTCTGTGCCTTCTTTATGTGAACATAATCCATAACATACTCATCATTTAAAAATAATCACAGTTCAATTTGTTTCTCTTTTCCTTTCCAACAGCCAGTTGTTACTCCTGACTTAAAATCTACTACTATTGTATTTTCAGATTAAATTGTTCCAGGTTTGCAGCTGTAGAACATTTAAGCTGCTTATCTCATTTCATCTCACCAGAAAAAGGCACTTAACGTCGATCTGTAAACAGTCTTTAGTTACATTTCCACAATTACAGTAAGCGATATTTTTCTTTCTCAAAAATAATGATATGAAACTGAAACCCACCTTCCTCTGGTGTTTTGACAGCTGGCTGTGAACCTGAAGCTTTTATTTGCTCATTGAGTCATATTTGTCATTTTTGTTTTCAAAATATTGTCTCATTATTTTTGCAAATCGGTTTTCCTCGACACAGGACACATGGTATCGCTGGAGGAAGGAAACAAAACAACAACAAAACTTTCAGACGGGTCCAAAATTCACTGGAGAAAATGTGAATTCACACCCGGCTGATCCTGCCAGTAGCAACCTGTCTCAAAGATTTAACTGTCTAAGCCTCAGCGCACACACACACACACACACACACACACACACACACACACACACACACACACACACACACACACACATACACACAGTGAAGAATGCAAATGCATCATTAAATTACTGCGCAGAGCTCCTACTGAATGCACCACAGATCATGGTATATATTCAAAGAAAATAATAAATCACAGTAGTGAGCGTGCATGTGTATTTAATGTGTTTGTATTTAACAGGCATCAGCTGCACAGGTATGATCCAGCATACATGATCCACCAGGTGCTTAAAGGCTTTTTATTCAGAGCAAAATGAAAAATGATTACATCCACGTCAATGACCTCTTTACTGGCCTTTGCGAAAGTGCATTCCTGAAACACCTTTCAAATGGATGTTTATGTGCTGGAGCAGCCTCTCACCCAGCCTCTGTAGTGAAAAGCAGATGCAGAGAAGCTTTTAAACTACCCTGTTGGGGGCTGCACTCGCATCCAAACTCGCACCCCTGCGCCACGTCTTTCTTGTTAGAATAAATCAGTGAAGGTCCTTGTGCCTGTGATCTTGATGACGAGAGAAGGGGACGTCTGCTTTGGGGAGATCTGTCCAGGGCCTAATCTTCTCTGTCAGATTGCGCAGGGCTTCAAAGCCCCTAGTAACGCAGAGGAGAGGAAGAGGAAGAGAAGGAGGTGGAGGAGGAGGGATGTCTCGGGCATCATCCATCGACTGCAGGGAGCGGGACGGCACTGAGAGACAGAGATGCGGTTGAGAAGAGTGAGTGTGTGTGCATGAGTGAGTGTGCATGGACGAAAAAGAAAAAAAGAAAGCAAGATTGGCCATGCATGATGGCTACGGACCTTTGGTCTCTGCATAGTCTGCCTGACTGAGCCGGCTGTAAGGGTCTGGTCGAAGATTTGAAGAAATCAGCAGGGAGAAGGAGAGGAGCAAGACCTGGATGTAAATACAGACAGATGGACAAAAAGAGGTCAAGCATAGAAAACACAGATCAGAAAGAAGAAACTGAGTAGGTTATTACGCACACAACTACATAACATTTTGCACAACCGGTGCTTCTCTGACTCATTTAAATATTCAAAGCATTCACAGCCGCAGTCCTGCCGGTACAAACACTCGCACGCCTTGATGTGCTTATAAACTTTTAATGTTTACTGTATTTCTTTGTTACAATTATGACTGCCTCAAAAATTACATAATGCTCTATCTCACCAGGATGCAGGTTGCTTTCTGTCTTGTTTTGCTGGGGCCATTAGGAAGGAGAGCCTGTAGCCGGCTTAGCTGCTCCAGCAGAGCACTGCAACACAAATCCAGACAGAAAGATGAAAGAGGCTGTGCAAAAGTTTCACATAAGGGGTCTTATCATTTCCAGCATCTGTGATCACTCTCGCAAAAAAGAGAGAGAGAGAGAGAGAGAGAGAAGGACAAATTGAAGGAAGAGTGTGTGTGTGTGTGGAGCCTTCACACATTTTGTTTTTACAAGCAGCAGTCTGCCAGCGTCAGGGAAAAAAGAATAAAAAAATCAGGACAGTGAAATTGCCGAGTGAAAAGAAAAGTTGGAAAAGCTGTGTGAAGATTTGGAATGGTATGCACTTTGTATGCTGGTAATTTTACTCTCAGGCTCTTCAGTCCTGAATCTTTCACAGGCAGAACGGTTTGGCCATTTTCAGCCGTGACTCGGTTTCATGAAAGCGGTGTCACAAAAGATGTCGTGGAGATTTATTTTGTGCAGCTAGCTCTGTACAAGCCCCGCGTCCAGGTTTGATTAATCCTGCTGCCTTATCTGTTCAACCGGTAGGGACTTTGATGGGAAACAAATGTGAGGGTTTGCAATTATGCCGTGTTTTCATATGGCTGCACCTCCTCAGCCTGGCCATTGTTAAATGTACGACACCCGGATGTTCTGACTATATATGGTCAATCTTAATTTTTTCTGTCATCCTATATTTCTGGATTTAGGCTCCATGAAACAGGCCTTGTGGTGTCATAGTCTTGAGATGAAGTGGTTTAGGCTATCAACAAAATACTAAATACTACCAGACATAATCCCACTAATGAAAACACAGTAGCTAAATAACTGAAACAGGGAAATAAATTGAAAAACCGAGACATCTGTGGTGCTATTTTTACAGGAGCAATTGCTGCAGAGCTAAAATAGCCATTCTCTAAAATCTAACAGTGACCATTCGATCATGCCAGAGCTCTGAAGCTGTGCCCTGACTGTGCCTGAGCCAGGATATAGCTTCCAAAGCTTCAGAGACTTGGACCTTTCCAGACCATATGCTGAAATGTAGTGCACTGGGCTGTAGTCATGGTAACTCTTTGCTTTTCATTGCAACTTTCAAAAGCAAGTCCTGGATGTTGTCACAGGTAAAGCTAATCAGGTGTGTTATGTTCTTTACTGTATTTTCTGGACTTTAAGCTCTCCATCATTATACAAAACACTGAGTTGTCCAGGCATCTAATGCCAATAATCATCAGGTTAAACTTTTGTTGCCTCACTTAAGGACTCACTTGTTGGTCTCCTCCAGCTGCTGGATCTTTCTCTGCAACTCGAGGTTGTGAGCACCACATGCAGACATCCTACAGAAAGAGGAGGAGGAGAATGAGGGCAGAATCGTATTAAAAAAATATCGTTTTATGATGTTGCCTCGCCTGCCCTCCATTTCTCTCTCTGCCAATATCAGCCTGCTGACTGTTATCGCAAACCCCATTCTGTCATCCAGGGACTCCACCCCCTTTCTTCTTCTGGTGTCTCTCTTGTTTGGTTCAGTCACTGTGAGTCCATTATGCCTTCGACTGATAATGACACCCTGTTGATACGCTCTGCTTGAATCTGGTTTAATTATCAACGAATGCTGACTCTGGGAGAGACAATCTCACTCTGCCATGAAACTTTTGTTATCAGGAGGCAGCAGAGCTCAAGCTTGATTGAGATGTTGATAGCATGTAATTAGATATATAAACCTCCTGTGTTACATCAGTAAGACATTTTCATTAGTACGCAAAACACGCAGACAATTTTCACATTTCAAATATTTACTAAAGTGACAGTACATTTGTGTTTGGCCATTTTTAAAGCTCAAACTGTGTATTGGCTTTATCCCACCTGCTACACCCGTGGTCCAAAACACCTCCATTCACTCTCAATCGACTCTTTTATTCTGACACAGATCAGTAATGGCAGGTTTTAAAAGAGTCCAGCAGTGCAAGGGAGTCAGTCTTAAGAACCACATCAGAGTGAAACAAGTTCTAAAAATACCCCCAAGAGAAGCTGATGAATGATAAACCTAGGGGGATTTGACAAACAAAGGAATTTGGGGAATATTGCTGCATTGCGTTTCTTTGAGGCGAGTCAAATTACATGCTCGACCACGCAGCGCTGTTTGTGGAGGTGTGATGTGGTTGAAGCGCCAGCATGTGGGAGGCAGGTGGGATTAATAAATTTGGTGACAAAGGCTTGCTGGCTGTGTGGTGAGGCTGATTCCGAGCAGCCTCGAGGTAGAGAAGGAGGAGGAAGACTGACGCAAAAACCTGCTTGCTGTTCTGGGTTGTGGCATCATGTTTAGGAATAATCCACTCTCTCTCCTGACTACATCTGTGAATTTGCGTGTATGCACAATGAGAAAGTGGTCCAGATCGACCGTAAGTGTTTTGGTGCCCCACAGTGGAGCAGTTATCACAGTATGGTGGGTATTCTGAGTTTCTTTACAATGTTCAATGAATGTAGAAACTTTCAGGTCTTTGACCTTACTGAACACCGATTTTTTTTCTCATAAACAATATTAAGATCTCTAAGAAGTCTTAAAATGAGTATATACAACCTCAGATAAACTGCAAACCGTGACATATTACACTATGTCAATAAAAACTAAGTCAAAGTGCAAAGAGCATTAAAAATTAGCCGCTGCTAATGAAATGCACTTGATTAACAGGTCGTCAAGACGTTTTGCTAGTTTGCAGGTCTGGAGCATTATCACAAATCCAAGCAGGAAAGACATCAGCAACGATCTTAGAAAAGCAATTGGGGTTATCAGGCCACTCAGAAAATGTTTTCATTCTACAGTGAAAAAGATTATTCACAAGTGGAAAGCAACAGATGCCAATCTCCCCAGGAATGGACATCCCAGAAAATTCACCTCAGTCAGACCATCCAATCCTTACAAAAACTTTTTAAAAAATCTAAGCGCTACATTTCAGACTCTACAGCCTTCAGTGAGCATGTTAAATGTTAAAACTCATGACAGTACAATTAGAAAAAGGCTGAACAAGTGTGGCTTGTTTAGAAGGGTTTCATCTAAAAAAAAAAAAAAAACCCTACAAAACTTCTGGAACAATGTCCTTTAGAAGGATTAGACAAAAATTGAGGTGTTTTGGTCATAATGGACGGTGCCAAGTTTGGAGAAAGCCAAACACAGCGTATCAGCACAAACAACCCCCACCAACTGTCAAGCACGGTGGTGGGGGTGATGATTTGGGCTTGTTTTACAGCCACGGGTCCTGGGCACCTTGTAGTCATTGAGGTAACCATGAACTTCTCTGTATCCCAAAGTATTCTTGAGTCAAATGTGAAGCCATCTATCTGGCAGCTAAAGCTTGGGCAAAACTGGGTCCAACAACAGGACTATGATCCCAAAAAGAAGGGAGGAAAAGAATCAAGGTGCTGCAATGGTCCAGTCAAAGTCCAGACCTTGACCTGTTGAAATGTTGTGGTGAGACCTTAAAAGATCTGTGGATGAATTTAAGAAGCAACACTGTAAAGAAGAGTGGGGTAAAGTTCCTTCACAATGATGGCAGAGACTAATGAAGTCATACAGGAAACAGTTACTTGATGGTATTGCTGCTAAAGGTATTTCTACAAGCTACTGAATCACTGGGTGTGCTTAGTTTCTCACAGGACTGTTTCTGGATCTTGGTTTAGTTTTTTGTCACAACACAGTTTAATGTGAGAATGTTGTTGTCCTTCTCAGATTAAATTTACCTAAATTTAAGACCACGTAAAGACTAGATCATATTTTTTTATTATACCCTGATATATAACCTTAGAACTGAGAGAAGGCTCACTTTCTTTTTTTTCCACAGCAGGAGTATGAATATATATTATTCTCTGCATTATTAAAACATCATCTTTTCGTGTGTTTGTTCTTACTGAAGTGCCGTTGGTATTATAGATAGTAATGCTTATGTACAAGTTTGTTTTTTGTTTTTATCTAAATATTCCTCCAATGAAAAAGAAATTCTCTTTTGCAGCAATCTCTTGAAAATGGTATTTCTTTGTGTATCCAGATCTTTATTAGTGAATAAATAAAAAAAAATAACAAGGTTTATGTCTTTCATTTTGGGCTGCTTCACTGGAACTGAATTTTAATGGGTTGTATTTCTTTTATCAATTTTGGCACTATATAATTTTTCTCTTGAATAAGTTTCTGTAATTAATTGGTTTTGTTGGAGGCAATGACAACTACTGCTGCACAGCTCTCCTTCTTCTTCTTTTTAATTCAAAACACCTCACTAGTGTTGTTTGAGGTTGTTATACAATCGTTTTTTTTGAGCTTCCTGTGAGGATTTTTTTTTTCAGGGAACTATTTGACAAATACCAGGAAACATGAAGTGTGCTTTACTTAATGAACAACAAAACACTCACTGAATCACTGAAAAACATAAAAAAAATCCAAAGCAGATGATTAAAAGAATGTTTCCTAAGTCGGTGCAGAGATAATGTCATACCTTTCTTCCAGGCTATCGACATATTCCCTTTTCTTCTTCCGACTTTCCTGAGCTGAGCGCTTGTTGCGGATTTTCCGCCGGATCTTTTTCAAAACTCTCTCTTCAAACTTGTCAGGGAGATGAAACACATGGGAGACCAGGACAAGAGAGAATAAAGAAAAAGGTATGTGAGATGAAACTAGGTTGAGAGAGAGAGTGTGTGTGTGTGTGTGTGTGTGTGTGTGTGTGTGTGTGTGTGTGTGTGTGGGTGGGTGGTGGGGAAGGGTGGGTGGGGTAGGGGGGGCATCATATCTGGCTGACTTTGTGTAACTGGGGATACAGATTTAGATCACGAGTGTGTGTTTGTGGATGTGTTTGGAGCATGCTTGTGCAGAGACATTTGCCCTACATACATGTGTATATTGCTCATGTACCTTGGATAGAGGCAGTCTGCTGGGCAAGTTTACCCCTTCTTTAGCCAGAAGTTTCTTCTCATCCTCATTAAGTACAAGCTCCCGCAAGGAATGCTGGGGGATTCGCTGCGCCTGTGAACCAGATGGACAGAATTCATTTCACTTAAAGTTACTCTATTTGCAGCTTTCCCCAAGAAGGCACAGGCAGATAGTAAAATTCTCTTTCAGTCAGAGTTGGACAGGACACCACACATATTTTAAGTTTCAACACAATTATGAAACCCTTCTTACTTTGTCTCCCAGGTTGGATAACAGCAGGTCCTTCACGGTGAGAGAATGGCTGGGTGGTTGCAAAGGATTTTGGTTTGTGGTGAGGTAGTATGAAATTCCGATATCCTCCTCTATGCTGCCAGACTCACAGCCTGCATATTAAAGCAGAAAAAACAGTACACCACATGTCATGGTTTACAAAATTGCTTGTATTTGCAGTTCAAACAAAACCCACCACAAAACGTCAGTCATTGCAGCATCTTTCTGTGCTTTAAAAACACTTTGCAAACACACAATGCTGCACAGGTTTTTAGGCATTTTAGACACTTGGATTCCTGTCCATCCTTTGGCACCACCAGGGAGGAGACTGATCATGCCTGCACCAATTATGCACCAGATGGCACAGTCCCCATCAAGCTCTTGTCTCATGGAGTCAGTCTGGGAGAGACTAAAGATGTTGAGATAGCCAAAATCTACAAAAGCCACCTGAAGCAAGCAACCAGCCAAGTACCTTGAAAACTTGGTCACACAAAATATTGGCTTGATTTGGAGTATGTATCGTTACTTTAATATTAGTGACATCAGGACATTGTCTTGTAATTATATAAAAAAATTGTGAGAAAGTTTTAAGGTAGCCAGTTAACCTATAGGCTGAAGAACGTGTGATTTTTATATTGTCAGCTTTTCACAATTAATCAAACCTGATATGCCACTTTTAAAACAAATACACAGTGTCCCAACTCCATTTACTGAAAGACTCACTCTCTTAATTTCCAGCTAGTTATACATAAATTGCTCTTAGTGCTCATTTGGAAAGCACAACTACAGCGCATTGTGTTTCGTTTCCTAAATACAACTTGAAATTGTTCGCTCTTGTTAACACACAGATGCCAGTTCATAGTGCACAAAAGTGTACAAGCATTTGTAAGAAGAGGAAAACAGCAGGGAAGAGGAAAACAGCAATTTCAGATGATTGCGATAGGCCATGTTCTTGTTCACAGAAAGTCAATTTGAAAAACAAAAATAGAAAATAGCATCAGAACTTTCCATTTTTTCCGAAAGTAAATGTTTACATGTATTAAAGTATTACAGATATATGTGCTTTACATAGTAAATTCAGTAGATTCTATGATGTTTTTATATTCTTAAAGTTACTAATAGAGTACTGAATGGACAGGCTCTAGATAATTTATGTCTGCTTCTTATTACAGTTTTTTCTGATTGCTTAAGCACATTTTTTGTAACTATTGGCTAATTTTGCAAAACTCTTCACACAAATAAGAAAACCTGTCACCCAATCATCAAAACATTGTAGTTCTCTTGCAAAAGCAAACACAGCTAGATTAACTCTTCACACCTTCGTAAAAATGGTGTTTCCGTATCAAACAGTACACACAAGCCATCATCTACTAAGCACACAATGCGCCAACTGCACACTGATGGTATGAATACAAAACACATCTGGCTTTTGCTTTCTCTGTGCACAAGGTAGGCTATGTCAGTGTGAGCTCATACTTCTGTCATAGATCCATAAGCATAGAGGGATCCAAACTTCAAGTACTGGTGTTTATTCAAACACATCAAAACAAACACAAGTGTTCATTTCCAAGTATAGGATTATTTGCAATCGCCATAATGACTATATGGGTTACTTGGTCTGCAGTGAACATGCTTCCTCTGCCCCCAGCATCTGGTCATCTAGCAATTCTGTAAAGTAACAATTTCAGTATTTTTACATCAATGGTATTGGTGTGTTTCTCATTGGCATATGGCAGTGCTACAAGTCTTTGTGCGAAGTGACTGTACTAACCGATTCTCATTTCAAGATGTCCTTATGGTACTTGCTACAGTGTAGCGGCTCAAGTTAGGCTGGACCCGTTGGCCAGCTACCCTCAGGGTCATTCCACGGTTGATTACATGGTCCACTATTGTAGCTCTGATGTCATCAGTAATTCTATTTCTTACTCTTCCTACCCTTCCTCTCCCCCTCCTCATTTTCCTCTCCCCCTCCTCATTTTCCTCTTGCTCCTCCTTGTCCTTGTCGTCCTCTTCATCCTACTTCTTCACCTCCACGTCCTCTTCCTCGGCCTCCTCTTCTTCTCACTCTTTCTGCTCCCTCCATTGTACTCCGCACACACAGCTTACCTGTATTATAGTGCTTAGGCTGATTGCAAAGTGAACGAATTATCTAAAAAAGTTTTCACATGTGAAAGTGTGCCAGACAGTTGGCAAATTAGTGTTAATGATAGCCATACATGTGTATACTTTTGCTAGGAGTGTGTTGGAAATTTGGTAATTGAGTGTTGTGCAGTGAATTGTGCCTACAGTTTTGCAAAGTGTGTGTTACAAAATTGCAAACTGAGTGCAAAGCAGTTTTTGTGCTTTTAGTTTTGCAAACTCAGTGAGTGGTTTTGCTATAAGTCTGAATAGTTTTAGAGATTGTGCTACAGGAATCACAGTTAGGGTTTAAGCATTCAGAAAAAACTGTAAACACACTCCTAATCGTAGTCTTCAGTTGTAGGCTCTGAATATAATGGTTGTTCCTTGTACAAGACTCAGGACTGACAGAGCATTTCAGTCTGTGGCACCTAGAATATGGAATATTCTCCCACTCCAGCTTTGTTTAGCTCTCTGTGGGCTCCTTTAAAAAGGATTGTTTTGCTTGTTTCTGTTTTAATTTAAAGTTACAGTAAATAAACATTTTCACCTCTAGATGTCAGTAAATTTCAGTCAACTGAGTTTAGTTTTCTTCCCATCTCGATTCAAATGCATAATCCGAGCTACAGTTGCTGCAATATGAGAAAAATGTTTTAGCCAGCTAAGAGAGATCAAAGACATTAAATTTAGACTGTACTCCATAATCGCCACAGCCAGCCAGTGTGTATCTACTATTGTCTGCTCAATTTCTTTATTCGTGTGAAGGCTGTCAGCCCACTGTTTACCTCAGCTGCCAATGACGGGTGAGAGGCGTCCACATCTATTTACTTTGAAGTGGGCTGTGGACGTTTGTGAGAGTTCGATATAAGTTGATGAGTTAGCGAAGGTCAGTTCTGATGGATGATATGAGATGAGGTGAGTTGCTGAGGATATGCTTAAGCCTTAGCCTGTTGTTTTTGCTGCTGTTAGCTGGTGTTTGCCAGCATGAGTGAAACTTTCTTTAAAGTTGATGTAACATTGTTGGACTTGGATGCTTAGTGAATAAACTCACATACAATGTGAGAATGTAATCAAGCTGTTTATCAGAGTGAAGGTTTGAATTTTAAGAAATTAGCTGCCATAATGTTAATTTACAAACAGTTTTTGTTGTTTTCTGTCAGCCGTCCCAGACTGGAGGGTCACATGTCTAATCTACTGACTGTAATTGCGACAATATCAGGAATAAATAAATTTGTGCATATGTTTTCATGTGACTTCAGTTCAGGAGGTAAGGCTTGAGATAAGAAGGAAAGGATGACATTTTATCCAGATGTTTTCGCTAATTGTTGAGGGGGGCACCTTCTCCAATGATAAAATATAGGTATGATCTTTAATATCTTCAGACTGAAGGTGCAGGCACAAAGTTAAATGTCCCTCCATGGCACTCGAAAGCCTACGCCTCTTTGATACATAGATAGATCATACATAGATCATAGGATTATAAATTGCAGACCTGCTCCTGTGTATTATTAGGTAGATATTATGAGTACAGCATCAGCACAGTACAGTTTTTCCTATTAAATAACCTCAGAAAATCACTGACTGTGCCTGTTTTCCATTAAGATTCTTATTAACAGTAATTATTTTTGTAATGATCTGTTTTCTTGTACTCTATTTCGTTCAGTTTTTTGCATTTTGATTTTCTGTTCTATTTTATTCTGATTATTCAAACTATTTTTAAAGTCCACACCCTGATGTTGTGTTTTCCATTTTTTTTTGATGTGTTGCTCAATGAAGGCTTGTTAGTGCTCTTATTGTTGCGGGATTTGAGTGTGACCTGAAAGCACAGTCGAAACTATTTCGATACGATTGTTTACAAGAGTCAGAGGTTTTATGAATAGTAGTTTGACTTTGAGTATTGTGTCTAGGTTTTGTGTTAACAGCTTGGAAAAAAGAAATAATGTGTGTGAAAGGTTTCAAGAAATGTGTCAAAGCAAATGTGGAAAACTGTAAACACTGGGAAACACTAATGTTAAATTGTGTGGGTTGCATTAATATTGATATGTCAACACTCCACAGCCATTTCGAATCATCAGGAACCCTCTGGTCTTATCTGCTGATCTTTTCTGGCAGGAGCATTTAAACCAGTAACGCTTCCCTCGTGGATATAAATTCACACATTTGAATTACACCCACACTGGTTCTGTGGCGAGTTAAAGGCTGCAGTTTATGGCGGTTTGTGTAGTTGTCGCTACCTTTCAAATGCACAATGGATTTAACCTTCACGGTAATAGCTGTTACAAAGCTTCGAGCAGCTGCTGAAAGGGACTTTGTAATATAGTCTTACAAGCACAAGACCAGTGTTACAACAATTGTTCCCTGTAATGAATTAAAAGAACACTGACCTTTAACCTAACAGACAATATATACTATATAAATCCAAGTAAATGATGAATTTATTCACTCATTCACTGATGAAGTCCAGTACAGACAAATAAAACAGCTGTCCACTGTAATTGTGATGCTGATGAGTAATTAAGCAGGTATGTAAAGAGTTAAAGAAATTACAGCCCGAAAAGATTACTTTCCTTTCCTCATAATTATGACCTTGTGGATGTATTTGCTTGTGTTTTAAAACCTTTTGTTGTAATTAGAAGGTGATGTATGTGGTTTTTTTTAAATGAAATGTATTTTCAGATATTTCTGGCACTAGTGGTGGGTCAAAAAACTGCACAGTGAAATGAACCAATATTCAAAATAGCTGCCCTCACAAAACAGTTTATGCATGGCAACAATCACAACCGTTTATCTTTAAAGATGTTCAAAAATGGGAAAAAACAAACAAGTGGCTCTTTGAAAGGTCCGCCATCAGAGGCTCAGTCAAAAGCCCCCATTATCCCACTACAGAAAGCACAAAATGAGAGATCTCACAATGTCAAAAGCTTCCCCTTTTTCATCTGGTAGTCCTGTGCCCTGGTTACTTTGTTCTTTACGCGTCTCAACCTCACATTTGCGCTCACTGTTAAAACAAACTACTGCTTTACAGGTTCCAATTCAGTACATGTTTCTGGCCTGTATAAAAAAGCAAGCCGGTTAACCCTTTGCTATTTAAATGTTGTCTTACCGAGATCGATAACAACATCTGGCTTTTTTTCATTTGCCACTGTCTGATTCACGAGACACGAAGACTGCGTGAAAGCCTGAATATCACAGGGAGTGGAGGCTGTGCAGGAGGCTGTGTGAGGGCTGTTTGTGGGATCTGTCAGGGGGTCCTCGGTGATGCCACTGTCACTGGTGCAGGGAGACCACAGGGGTGATGCTGGCACAGAGGAGGAGTCGCTCCCATGCAGCAGGAACTCCAAGAAATCATCAGGATCACTTTGCTTAGTGCTCAGTGTCTGAAGAGAGTATGCATACATAATTACATTATGGCTTGATTGGCAGAATGAATCTAGATCATAGATAATAGTAATCACACATACAAGCAGACACAGAAGCGTAAACACACCAGGCTTTCAATTCGCTCTCTCTCTCTCTGTTTCCTTTGGTTCCTGCTATTTGCAACACTTGCCGCTATACAACCAGGCACACCCCAGAATACAGTTTAAACTCAGCACTCAGGTTCTCATGATGAGATGAATTTGTGGCCGTGATTATGTTTTCCCCTGAGTGATTCGGTTTAGGAGCAAACTGTGCATAATGAGCAGCACACTTACATCATTAGTTGAGCTGGTCCACGTTTGGTTGCTGTGGCAACTGGTGGATTCACCTGTGTTTTTGAGCAGAAGGTCAATGATGTCCATCCCATCGTACACCTGAAACAAACAGTGATGGTTCTGAAATTGAAGTGTTTCTCAGTTTTTCAAAAGATAAAACGTTTTTCACAGTATTACCCAATTTCACCTGGGTGTCAAAAACTCGCTCAATCTCACACTTCACTTGTCTCTGACAAACTTGCATTCACGTTCGCCTTTTTTAAAGCGACGCTTTCTTGACACGCACTCATGCTGAATCACTCTCTTACACAAAAAGCATCAACTGCACCCAGTGATCTTACCTTGTCTGTAGTCAGTGTCATAATTCTGACATTAAAGCAGCTGGTGGAATTTCAGCGAAAGTCTCCTTCAGGCATACAAATGCAGCACACAGCCAGATTGGTACGTTCCTTGTGCCTTTAGCGTGAAGGAGAAGCGTCTGAGTCAGCCTTCAGGGACAAAGTTGAAATGCCATATCACACAACAGCATTCCCCAACCCAGCTGATCACTGTCCAATCCACTGTTAGTCAGCCAGCAGAGAGAGCCAATTAGGACAAGAAGGGAGATTACTTAATTGTTAATAAGTGTGACCTTTGAGGTCATAAATCAGCAGTTGGTGTATGCTGTCAAATTCTTTTTTTATTTTTTTTAAATTGGACAAGCTAAATTTAAAGCCCAATTTATTGCTTTCAAACACAGAAAGTGGAAAGACTGACTTTTAATTTGCACCAGTTTGGACTAAGCCCAACAAAAGTTCAATACTCCTCTCTCTGCTCATCACTAAGGAATCCACAAGGCAGTGGAAACACACACGAAAGGGTTTAATCTGAATTCAAGGGTTAGAAACTGTCTATTTGATTATTTGAAAATTAGAGAGAGTTAGTAAAAGAAAGTCAGGATGTGCTTCTAAGCCACTGAGGGATTAACAAAAAGGGCAGCTGTACTTCAAACTCTATTCACTGACACTGAAAGCCAGCGCAGAGATCTGATTTGAAGCAGAGCTGAAGCTGTCTGGGAGGTTTCTGGATGGAAATCGAAGGAAAAGAAAAAATGCTCCCCTTCTATGGGACTTCTTCCTGATTCTTCTTATGGATTTAAGGTTGAATAAGGACTTGAACTAATTTAATTAAAAGGTAAAAGTCAATAAAAGTCAGGATTACACTGAGATTTTGTGCTTGGTCTTTGGTCATCAAAGCCAGAAACTGAGATGAGAACTATCTTTCAGTTAGCTGTCGTTTAGCTGGAGACAGTTCTGGCACATCTAAAATGATTTTAAGACAGTCCAAGAGTTACTAATGATAGTCTTGGTAATATTTCACATAATGAAGCCCAGTGAAGGGCTCAATGTGCAAATAGAAGAGAACAATGAGTGAGCAGCAGGGAACCCCCAAATTCTTGTTGGTCCACTTAGATCCAAAATTACAGAAACAAGTTTCCAGAAGATACAGTATCATGAAAAATAAACGTTTCACATGATCCAATGATTCAGTAGCTTGTAGATCTACTTGTAGAAGCAATAACTTTTTTTTATGACTTTATCAGTCTCTCACATCACTGTGGCGGACTTTATGGGCACCTGTTTATGCACAACTATCTTAAGTGTAGTGTTTCAGTCAGGTTAGGGTCTGGACTTTGACTGGGCCATAGTAATACTTCATTGTTTTCATTGTAGATTGTTGTAAATTTGCTGCTGTGCTTGCCAAGATTTATCTGAGACAGATGGCTTCACATTTGAGTCTAGAATATTTTGGTACACAGAGGAGTTTGCAGTTGATTCATTGACCGCAAGGTGCCCAGATGCCGTGGCTTTAAAACAAGCCCAAATCATCACCCCTCCACCACCGTGCTTGGTTTTCTCCATTATGACCGGCCCCCCACCCCAAACCGAACTTTAAGTGGGACGGTTAAAAAACCAAAAACCAAACTGAGATTAAATATAATTGCTATCTACAAAGGTTATTTTAATCTATAACAGCAGATGTGTCCAAGCTACTCTTTTTTAAAAAGTGGCTCAACAATTACAGTTTTTCAGTGGTTTGAGAAAAATAACATTTCAGCAAACAGCTGCAAAGACCTTTCAGTGAAGCTTGTTGTCAAAGCATCAAGAAAGAGAATGCGATTGTTCTGGACAGTTTCTTTCAGTCGCTGGCAGCAAACAAACTGATAATTACCTTAATGTTTTGGGGTTTTGTCAGCAAACTGTTTACAACAACAAAGAGTTCAGCTGAAGCTACTGTGAAGGGATGGATCAATCAAGGTGGATCGACATGAGAAAAAAACATCCTTCTAAATGAAGTATTTATTTTCTTTGTGTCTTTCAAATAGACACTTGCTCCTCAAGTTACAGCTCTTTAGAAAGCTGATCAATGACTTTTTTTTTTTGCTTTCCTAATGCAAAACAACGTTATCCGTTCCTTATCTTTGCTGTCATAATTAACAGCATCTGTTTCATGCTAGCACGCCCCATGAAGCAAAAGATATTACATAATGTGTTCTTCCAGCAATTACACAAGGGGAACATGCACATTGGCAGAGATTATCTCATTGTTATCACAGGGGAAGGGATTGTTTCAGTGGCAGAGCTACTTAGTATTACACCCGTCTAAAAGCAGAATAAGCACAATCAATAGTCAGCATTCTTTTAAGAATGAACACCATCAGCTCAATCCTCCTATTGCCATATCAACTTCAAAGCATTGCTACACCTTTGAGGGAACACAGCCTGGTAGCTCAAATAATTCAAAGCCATTTTCCTTTCTCTTCACATAATTTTATATGACATTTTTGCCTTCATCAGATGGCTCGAAGCAGACAGAGATGCCAGATATTTTCTTTGGGTTCTGAATTTATGTTTTTTTGTTACCTTTACTAAGCTGTTCAAAAGTCAGAGTGAAGAGGGACTTTATGGGAAGAACGAAAGTGAAACTGTGGCACGGCAGAAAGGACGCAAATCTTTCTTATCTTTTGTTTGTCAGGCATGCATAATGTGAATAAATCAAATTCTCTGAGGTGTCTGATTCCCAGGCTTGGTGGAGACGCTTGTTTTACAGGCTAGGTTGGATTTCCAGACCTAAAATACAATTCAAATGTCAAAAAGCCCCTGTTGTATAAGGCCAAAAAAGGTTATTTAAATACACTCTGGTGAGACTAATGGAAATGGATGGTGTATTAGCATATTCTGCTGTGTTAGACTCTTTCTTACTTAAGAAAATAACGCTCACAGTGAAGCCACCGTACAAATCCATTATGACCGCTATACTTTAGTTTTTCAAAGACTTGCTTCTTAAGTATATTAGTTGCTTTAAAATCAACATATTCATGAATACGCCTAATTAAATGGCAGCAGAGCGCTGCTATCTTTATTGTTGTTCTAACTGGAGATTAGAGAGTATCAAAGTACTTTGAGTGCAGTGATTATCTAACCGGGGCATTTTGAGCACATCTCTAGATACCAGGAATAAGTTGCTGCTCAGTACACATAACTGTTATTGCATATTAGATCACAATGTGAATGCATATTCAGATATCTCCATGTGAGAGCAGGTTGGTTAGGGTGAAGGAAAAGAACATCTATTGGACACCTTAGGGTGTTTTAAAATGAAATATACCATGAAATCACTTTTATGCGGTCAGTTCTCTTCCAGTGAAATGACCTGCACAGGTACCAATGACTGCAGCTCCACAGAAATGGTCTCACAGCTCACCCTATTCCCTGGCAAGAAAGTGTTCAATAAGATGTGTGGAGAGCAAAAGAATCATATAAAAAATACACAGCTACTGCAGTGATCAAAGAAATGCCTTCTTCAGGTCCATGGGTGTGAAGTCACGGGCTGAAAACATGTTTGAAGCTTACATCAAGGTCATTTAACCAGCCACAAAGTGCATTTTCATTAGCTCTTATCTGAAGCTCAGTAATTGCTCTAATGTGAGCAAAATCGTTCTATATCTACAGCTGGGAAATTGTTAGTGTGTGCAAACAGGAGAAACACGCTTGTCCGCTGTCTCTAGTGGAGCTGACTGTACGTTATTGGTAAAATCATAAACTCTGCAATTAGGAGACAAAGATTAAACACAGCCTTCAGCTACAGCTACAACGGAGTACCAGCTCAGCGTCTGCTTTTTGAAATTTCCCATCATGTGTGCCACTAGTATGAGATAATCCACAGCTTTCTCCTCACTCTCACAGCTACAAGTGTCATGTAATTGGCTTCTTCAGCGCTACGCTTGCAGCGAATGCCCACATGCAACTGGGAATTGTTTTCAATCATGTAAGATTTTTTTTCGTTGGCTTTCTGATTTCCCTAAAGATCTTCAGGTAACAACCCCAAATGTTCATTTTAAATCTAAATTCAGTATCCGCAGGCACATCATGTGGATTCTATCAGTTTATAAGTTTATTATTACATTTAAAAATATGATATCATAACATCGATAGTTTTTGTTATTTCTTAAATTTAATGTTATCTATTCATTTTTCTACTGCCAAGTTTGGAAATCAGTTCCCTTAATGTGTAAAATCCTCCTGTGACTAGTAAAGGGAATATATTTCCCACCGTTTGGAGTTTGACAAAAAAAAGAAAGAAAAAAAAAAGCCAGACATGCTCCACTTTAAGCTGCACTGTGGCAGTCAGCGTCCTACACCGAAAGCTTCAGAGAGACTCCTGCTAAAAGGCCAATCAAGATATCGTCCTCCACTGTTTTGCAATTTTAAGACTACTTCACTGAGTTTATGAAAACTACCTCTGTAGCTTTTGCATAAATCTGATGATTAGATGAAAGACACCGTTTTTCAGATGAAGTAATCTGCACACCACTGCCTATGCGACTGCAGACAACACGCTCTTTCTGCTGTGAACGTTGCTGTTTTAGTAGGTCAGCCCTGCTGGAGGAAACGTGACACACTGCGCAGTGATATTGCAGTAATATCAGCTTTATCAGCTGCACTGACCATTTAAACCACTGGTTCTTGTTTAGTCACCACAAACTTTAATATCTGGACTCCCTTGTGTTAAAAAGGGCATTATACAATGAATAATCTTTGGAGCTGTGTAGAGCTTTTATTGTTGCTCACTAAATTTAAATTTGTTTTGCTTCTTATAGTGCTCTGAAGACAAAAAGTAGAACTTTCTAATGATATGTATTTTAGGGAGTTTTAACAAAAGATTTTCTACATTTAGAGACTATGAGCAGAAATTATAAATGCAAGCTCAAAACTAAAAATAAACATTGAAAAAAGAAATCGTCTTGCAGCATCGTTTGCTTTGTGGTTTTATCTTCATCTGAAATTCATGAGTAAAGCTTTCTTTAGAGATAATAATCATCTGCTCTCATGAGAGCCCATTATGTGCTTATTATGGGAAACCCACGAATAATGTATTTTTCAGTTATTTCCTT